GTTGACAGCGTGGAAGTCCTGGTTGTCATAATAGGATGGAGGCCCTTCCTCCTGGTAGTTCCCATGCTGAGGTGCTGGGGACACAGAGGCTGGGTCAGTGTCCCTTGAAGGCACTTGGATCCCTGCCCCGCCCCTACCTTTCCCTACACTTACAGCCAGGGTCTTGGAAGGGCGGTGGCTGTCCATAGGGGTTAGGGGGGAAAGGGCTCTGTGGGTAGGGCCCCTGTGGGTAGCCTCCTTGTGGGTAGGGTCCTTGAGGGTAGCCACCTTGTGGATAGGGGCCGGGACCATGAGGATACCCTGGTTGACCATAGGGAGAGGGCTGGAAAGGGGCCTGTGGATATGGGGCCCCAGGGTATGGAGGCTGAACATAGGGAGGCATAGGGGCTTGGGGCCCCACAGGATAGCCAGGGTTTGGGGGAGGATAGCTGTCCCCAGACACCAAGAAACTCTTTTCATGGGACATGGCCTCAGGTTCTGTGGCTGCCCCTAGAGGAGAAAAAAAGAACAGTTAGCTCTGAGAGATTGAAACCAGTGACAGCCATACCTGCTGTGGAACCCAGGAAGAAAAAAACCACAACTGGCCATGACCTTTGTACAGGGCTGTAGGAAGCCACAGAACAAGGAGTTGGGGAGCGTTGGGTGGGGTGCGGGAGACTGATGTGGACCCCTTGGAAGGGGCTCCTCTAGATCGACCTGGGGTGGGGGATGGGAGGAAGAGTGATGGCTGTCAGCCTCAGCTTGGAGCTTGGGAGATGCCTTCTCTCCGCTGTGGGTCTTTCAGGTCAGAGCTCAGCAATGAAGGGTCTTGAGTCACGGCGCAGCGGCTAGAGAGGCGTGGGGGTGTGCCCTGACCCTCCCCTTCCTATCCATCCTATTAAGCAGCTTGAAGGGGCCAGCGCTAGCGGCTATTTCTATCCGAGGAAATCCCCAGGCCATCTGTGATCAGCGGGAACCCTGACCCTCCTCTTAAGCACAGGGACGAATGTCCCTAGCTCCGGGTACTGAATGCAGGCCTGTATTGGCTGCTAAGGTGTCTGCTAGTAGGGTACGCCAGGAACAGCGGGGTGCGGGGGTGTGTGGGGGATGGAAGCGACCAGAGGGCGTTCAAGGGAACAAAGCGGGGAAAGGGACGACGGAGGAGGGGGCGGTGGCTACAGAATGCGCCCTCAGGGTGGATGGGCCCTCTTGTCTGGCTGGGGGTCGCTGAGCCTTGGGTCTGGGCCGCTACAGGGAGCTGCCACCTCCCTCTTGCTCAGGGCCTCCAGAGCTCCCCACCCCCAATGATGCCACCAGGCTGGGCGAGCGGGCCGCGAGTCCTGTCCGAACCAACTGACCCGAGGCGGCCGCGCTCAGTAACACTGGGAGGGGATGGCCGACTGGCAGGGGGGCTGCGGCGGCGACACGCTCCTGGGATTGGTCGGGGGGGACTCACCGCTCCCGGGAGCCAGAGACCGGTGCCTACGGTGTCCGCTGCGCAGCCGCGCGCGGTGATGGCCGGTGCGTCCGCACCTGCACCCGCTGGGCGGCCGGGTTGCTTGGGCCTGCGCCTGCGGCTGGGGAGACGCAGGAGAGCCTTGTGACTGGGCGGGCCTTGTGATGGGGCGGGGCCTTGTGATGGGGCGGGACCTTGTGATAGGGCGGGGTCTTGTGATAGGGCGGGGCCTTGGGGCGGGGCGGGACCTTGATGTAAGTCGAATGTTATGACCTGTCCGGGTGCTTCTGAGCCTACAGAAATTGCTCAACCCTCTTTGCCTAGGCAATCTACTATTTCTGTAGGCGACCTAGGTCAGAGTCCTGAAGCCTGCTCTTTCTGACCAGAGTTGGTTGGCATCTGGCATGGGGGCTAACGACTTCGGGAAGCCGGACTCTCTTTAGCTTATGTGGCTTTCTATTGATGGATTCAGGGAGTCAATTCCGGAAACCCGGGATTTACTGAAGCCTCCAAGGACTCCCATCTCTTCTTGGCTTTTCCTTTTGAGACAAGGTCTCAGTCTGTAACTACAGCTGACTTGGAACTCACTATGCAACCCAGGCTGACCTCAAACTTGTGGCAGTCCTCCTGCCTCAGCTTTCCAACTAGGCTTACAAACATGAGTCACTACACCCAGACCTTTATTTGCTTTAAAATACAGCATTCACACCTGGGTGGTGGTGGTGCATGCCTTGAAGCAGAGGCAGGTGGATCTCTTGAGTTTGAGGCCAGCCTGGTCTACAGATTGAGTTCCAGGATAGCCAAGCCAGCACTGCCTAGTGAGACCCTGTCCTGAAAAACAACAAAAGCCACAGCGTTCGTTTTTATCCACACCTATTCCAGACCAAGAGACTTATCGTTTAATTGTCCCATTCCCTCCATACTCTTGTCACTTGCCTCAGATCCTTAAAATAATCTTGTCAGGACGTAGAGGTGGGGCCAACTCCCTGCCTCAATTCTGGAATTGGGGGGCAGGATGTGTGAGGGGAGTGCTTCTTGAGGTTTTCCCATGGTCCTCAGAGTCTTGAGGACATCCCCGTTCGGTTCTCTTCTGGTTCTTGGTGTATGGCCGCACTGAAGACCTTATAGTAAGTAAGGTTGGGAAAGGGTTCTCTCCTGTGTTCACAAAGCGCTGACCGTTTAACAACTGGATCTAATGAAGGTATGTCCTTGATCCAGAGCTGCTTTCTGCACATGATCCTGGTATAAACACGCCCACCCACCATGGTTACTTATAAATTCTAGATGTGTTCTGTTGCTGTGAAAAACACCCTGATTTTAAAAAGCAGCACAGGGGAGGAATGTTGTATTTGGCTCATGATTCCAGGGCACCATTCTGGAATTTCGATCAAGTCAAGACAAGAACGCAAGCTGCTAGTCACTTGACATGCACAGTCAAGATCAGGAAACCATGTTACGTGCTTGCCTGCTCTCGGTTAGCTTTCTTGTACAGTTTAGAGAAATGGTATTACACACATTCAGGGTGCATATTCCACCCTCAATAAACTGGAAAATCCCTCATAGATATACCCACAGGCCAACCTGTTCTAGACAATTCCACTCTAAGACTCTCTTCCCAGATGATTCTAGGTACTGAGTTGACATTAAAACTAACCGGCACAGAAGACATTATCAGTGTAACATTCAGTTCACAGAAATTCCTGAAGATTTAACAATGGCAGTGACGTGAGCTGTTTTCATGCATCCCCGCCTGTGGCAGGCCTTCTGTAGCATGCATTCATCTAAGTAAAGTTCGGTGTGCTAGAGGGTGGTTACGTCCTGTAAGCAGAAACCATAGAGCAGACAGGACAGGGTTTTGTAGAAACAGACTCTCATATAATTAATTAGTGGGCCCTTTAAGAAAAACAAAACAACAAGCACAAAGTTGACTATCGGGCCTCAGAAGGAGCCTGGACAACTTTAAGGGTTTAGCTCCATGTTAGAGCTGTCACTAAGGGTTAGGTGAGGGAATCATGGAGAAGGGATAGCCCCATGTGGCTCTGTGGGGAAGGCTAGGTCATTCGGATTTAAAGATGGTCCAGGGATACTGCTTTAGGCAAGAGCTGAGGCCTGAGAGGTTGGAGCCAAATAAACATCCGGGTGTCGTGTATGAGAAGGGATTAGAGAGACAGGAACTGGGAACAATTAGACTTTAGCTTTCACTGTCATTGGCGGTGGGATTTGTAGCAGCCACTGGTCCCCTGTCAGCTCCGTGGAGGAGCCACAGTGGGAGTGGCAGAGAAGGAAAAAGGGTAGTGTGGCCCTTCAATAAGTCTTGGAGGCTCTCGATTGAAGGAAAGGGAGGTAGTGGAGATTCAAGGACCACAGGTTTAGATATATAGACTGGGCAAAACCCATGATCCTTTGGAAGAGCAGCAAAGTCCGAGCTGGCATAACTGGAAGATGTGGATACAGAGCAGCAGTAGTTACAGCCTCGGAGATGAAAGAAGCAAGCAGGCTATGGTAGTGAACGGGAAAGTGACTTCTAGAGGCACAGCCTCCAATCTGGGCATGGTTGTACACGCCTATAGTTCCACATTCAGGAGACTGAGACAGAAGAATCCCTTCTAGTTCAAAACCAGTCCAGCCTGCACAGTGAGTTTCAGGCAGTCTGGGCTACAGAGTGATACTGGTATCAATAATAATAATAAATAATAAATAATAATAATAAAGGCAAAGCTTAGGTGCGAGGCCTGGCCCTCTGAGTCCTGTCTGTGACTCCAGCTCCCCTTCTGTGTAAGGATTAGTGGCAGAAAGGGATGTCAGCACAGTGGCTACCTCTGGGACAATGATGACGAGCAAGGAGTATAGGAAGAAGGACTAGGTAGACGTGGGCTGAAGGAAATCACGAGAAAGGAGCTGTGTTATGATTTGAGCTTTACACTTTTAAATAGTCACGTTGGTTTGTTTGTTTGTTTATGCGTGCACCTGGAATGCTGTGACATACATGTGGAAGACAGACAACTTGCAGGAATCAGCCCTTTCCTTCCATCATATGAGACCCAGGGATCAGAACTCAGTTTGACAGGCTTGGCAGAAAGAGATTTTTTTTTTTTAAACTTGTTTCTGGGTATGAGATTTTTGGGGGCAAAGGGTAGAACTGCTTAGAAGCAAGGCTGGTTATCTTCTGGGTTTGAAGTTTTCTAAGAGGCAGCCCCAGCAAGGGGCCAGCCTACAAGATCAGTGATGCTCATGTCTAGGACCCAGGGCACAGAAACCTAGAGATTCTTGGGGTGGGAGTGGAGGGTGAGATGCTGACAGTGTGACAGTATCTCAAGCATCCCATAGGGAGGGTGATTAGTCACAAAGAGAAGCCAAGAAAGAAGAGAAAGTCTAGGAGCCATTTGGTCCACCTTGCTAGTCAAGAGGCTAATGGGTGGGCTGGCAGAAAGGTCCTTAGAAGTTCCTTGTAGACCGAGGGTTAAGGCTGAAGCAGAAGAGGAAACTCCAGAAGACTTAAAGCCTCTGACTTAGCTCCTCCCTCTTTCCTTTCCCCAGTCAGTTTCACTTTTGCTTTCCTACCAGGCCTTCTGCCTGAGAAGGACAGCAAGCCTAACCCGACTGGCCTGGGACAGCTGGGGTGAGTGTAAATATGGGGTGTTGGGGAGCAGGTGGGAGTCTTGGAGAAAGGACTGAACAGGTGAAGCGGGTCCCTTTCCTTGCCATGTGTTGCACCCCAGGATTCTGATGGCAAAGGTGGAGGCAGGGGCAGCCTTAGAGCTCCGGGGACTGCCCCCTGAAATACCAGATGAGCTGCTTACTCTGTACTTTGAGAACCACCGTCGCTCTGGTGGAGGACCTCTGTTGAGCTGGCAGAGACTCGGCTCTGGGGGTATTCTCATCTTTCAAGATCCTGCAGGTGAGGGGGTTGACTCAAGAGGTTGCCAGGGTGCCCTGAAGCTTTGCCATCTCTGACACCCAGTCCCTGCTCACAGATGCAAAGATGGTCTTAGCCCAGGCAGAGCACCGACTACATGGGGTGCAACTGAGCCTGAGGCCAGCCCCACCGCGTGCCCCTGGACGTGTGCTTCTCCAACAAGTGCCACCCGGCACTTCACCTATGAGCCTGGAGCAACATGTTCAGGCCTTGCTGTGTGCTGCAGGGCACCCCGTGCAGACTTGCCATGCCCTGGCCAGTCCTCGGCAGGACTGTGCCCTAGTCCAGTTATCTGTGCCCCTTTCTGAGGCAGGTAAGAGGCACGTGAGAGGCAGGGTTGGGGGCATAGCTGCTAGCTAAGGAGGATGCCTGAGTTGATTCATATACTGCCCTCAGAGGTCTATGCCCTGGCGGAACAGGCCCAGAATCTGCCCCTGAATGGAGCCACCGTGTCCTTGGCCTGGGTGCCCCAGGCCCGAGCAGTACGTGTGGTGGACAGCGCCGCTCCTGTGGACCTCTTGCTCCTGGAGCTCTACCTGGAAAATGAGCGTCGAAGTGGTGGCGGACCCTTGGAGGGTCTGCGCAGCCTCCCTGGGCAACTGGGCACTGTTGTCCTCTTTCAGCAGTGGCAGGGTAAGTGGCATCTGAAACTATAAGGACCCTTTCTCTATGCTAGAAACTCAATGTGCTTTCTGTCTTCTCTCTTCCTCCAGTGGCTGAACGGGTGCTGAAACAGAAACACTGGCTACAGGGCTCTGAGTTGAGCCTTGTCCCTCACTATGATGTCTTAGAGCCAGAGGTGCTTGCTGAGGGCATCTGTGGAGGAGGTCATTCACCTATGCACGAATCTGGAGTCACTGATCATGTTCCAGAAGCTGGAGGGCTGGCTGGGGCTCTGACTACGACTGTGGGCTCTGGGGAGGCACCAGGACAATTAGGAACCCTTCTAAGGGCAGGTCCGGTAGGAGCTCCAGGACAAGTTATGCCAACTGACTCAGGATCTGTGAGGTCTATGGAGCAAGAGGAGCCTATAAATCCAGGAACTATGGGATCTCCGGAGCAGACTGGTTTAATGAACCAGGCAGTTATGGGCTCTGCAAGCTTGGTAGATCCAGTAGAAAGCTTTACAGAGCTCCCAGAGCAAGTAGGACCCATGACCTCAGAGTCAGTGGGTATTCAGGAGCAGGAGGGCATGGTGGAAATGGTGATGTCGATGGAACTAGGGGCCATGCGCTTCCTGCAGCTGTATTATGAGGACCTTCTTGCCAGCCTGGAAGATGTTGCCCTTTTCCCACTTGAAGGAGTGGATGTGACTGGCTTCCGGGTGAGTGACACCCCCCGCCCCCGCCAAGATCCCCTCAATTTTGCCTCTTCTCTTGCTGGAGTCCAGGTTCCTTTCCTGTGCTCTGAACCTATAAACTGTCCTCCTTATGGTCCCCCAGCTTTGTGGAGCCAGGGCCCCCTGCCAGGCAGCCCAGGAGTTGCTGCAGAGTCTTCTGGGCAGCATTAGCTGTCACACAATGAGTGTAAAGCACCCAGGCAGTGCCAGGTTCCTGCTGGGTGTGGAGGGGCAGCACCTTCTTCACAGCCTGGAGACTCAGTTCCAGTGTGTCTTCGGGACAGAACATCTGGCCAGCGCCACCCTGGACATAGACCCTGAAAGGGTGAGATGGAGTTCTGCCTTTGTCTTTTTTCTCACATGCCAAACCTAGACGCCCCCTCCTCTGCTGTAACCCTGACATCCTCTTCCCACAGACAGATCCCACTGAGGCCCTCCAAGTCCTCCACGGCCACAGTACAGTCATCGGTCAGGAGAACGTGAGACTGGGTAGGACTCCTAGGGAGCCCTAGTATGTCCTGTGATCTTTTCTTAACAATCCCCTCCCTGCTCTGACCTATCACTTGTTCAGTGACCTCTTTGTGGTCTACCCTGTACCCACAAATATAATCTCCATCTTTTTATATTTAGTCCAATTCACCTTGTTGTTTTTCATCATCAGGCCCCTGACTGGGCCCAACCCTTGACCCAGTGGCCTCTTTTTGCCTTTAGAGGAAGTCCGAGAGCTGTTGGCTACCCTGGAGGGCCTACATGGGGAGGACAGGGAGCCTCTGGAAATGGAGGAGAAACCTGGAGAGCCAGAAGAGCAGGAGGAGGAAATCCCTGCACTTGAGGCTGAGGAGGAGCCTGTGGCCCTAAGCACTGGGGTACCTGGGCAGTTAGAAGACGAAGCCACACTGCAGCTGGCAATCTACCGGTCCTTGGAGTCTCAAAGCCAGGTGGCTGATCAACTGGAGGCTATTGCACTAAGGCGAGCCATGGCCCTCTCCCTGTTAGAGGCAGAAGAGCCCCTGGATGAGAACACTAGGGGCAGGGCCCAGCTGGTGGTGCACACATCCTTTGAGCAGGATATGGATGAATTGAAGCAGGCATTATCAAACGCCTTGGAGGTACACCTTCGGGAGGAGACAGTGAGTCTCCAGGGGCGTATGCTGCCCTCAGAGCTTGGGGCTCGTCTGGAGAGATGTCATGATGTGAGTGCTACCCTCCATGGTGACCTCGTTGTCCTCCGTGGCTTTGGGGTCCAGCCTGCCCGTGCAGCTCGCCACTTAGCTGCTCTGCTTGTTGGCCCCTGGGACGAGAATTTGACCTTTCCTTTGGAAGCCTCAAAAAACAACTGTAAGTCTGTACCTTGGACTTGGGGAGGGTGGAATGGGTTAGCTAGTGCTTGAGACATGGCCCTGATGTCCTCTGTTCCTGTGTGTCAGTGTCTGAGCAGGGGCTGAAAGAACCCTTGGGCAGGCTGGAGCCTCTGGAAGAGAATTCCAAGGAGTTCCAAGATGTGGTGCAGGCCTTCTATAACACCCTGGATGCCGCCCACAGCAGGATCTGCATTGTCAGAGTGAGTTCTTGTCCTGTGTTGCTGGCCTTGTTCCCTGTGTACGGAACTTCTCTTTACATTGGGGTCAATTGACCAAAAACTGCTTAAAGTGGATATGTTGAAAGCTTATAGAATGCATTGCTATACCCATGCCTGGCTCCAGGAACTTGGACATGAGCAGGGGCATTAAGGGAGTGACGAAAAGACACAGGGTTACACAGGGATGGGGTCTCGGCTCTTAGATGGAGAAACTGCAGCACCTCAGAAGCTGAATGTCTTTATCATGTAGAGTAGACCAGGAGGTAGGGTTATTGCATACAGTTACACAAGGAGGCAGGGTTATTATATACAGATAAATGAGGATTTATGGATCGAGAAGGCAGGTTTAGCACATCTCTGTTGGGAGTAGTCTTTGAGCAATAAATATTCTAGTGGAGAAAGCTATGGTGGATATTTTTCTGCACACACCATCAACATCCAGATTTGGACAAGAGGAAGGCTTTGCCATGCCTCTGAGCTTTGCAGGTAGAAGGTTCTGGGGCCCTTGACATGGCTGACTCACGTCAACAACACACATTTAGTCAGTACTTCGTTCACTCAGTGTTCCTCTGCTCTCTGCAATGGATAAGCACCCCTTCTTTGCCTGGAGAACATTTGGAATCTGAGGAAGATAAACAGAAGGGTATAGGGATTAGGGATCTGACAGGCCTGCCTGAGTGAGGCTCTCTACTGGGGACTGTAGGACTGTCTGTGCCACAGTTGATACCATCTGGTGGCCAATGTGAGGATTACTGTTCTTGTTCTTATGTGTATGGGGGTGGGGGAGGGGCTTTCTGTCTCCAACAGAGGCCTGTTCTGGCAAAGGGCTAGCTCCACCTTCTCTCCGTGTAAATAAAATAATACCCATTTGTGTGTGTGTGTGTGTGTGTGTGTGTGTGTGTGTGTGTGTGTGTAGCTAGGGAGAAAAATGTGCATACATATATGTATTGTATATGTTTATAGTGGCTACTTCTCCTGCATTCTTGCTAAATTTGGCAAAAATGAACATGGACAAAAAAACAAGCTAGTATTAAGGAGTGGGGATCCTTAGAACCCCCTCCCCAGCATTCCAGGTAGATGAGAAAAGAAGAGCAGAGGTAGGTGGATCTGTGTGTTTGAGGCTAGCCTGGTCTACATAGTGAGTTCTAGTCCAGCCAGAGTTACATAGGGAGATTCTGTCTCAAAATACGAAAATAAATAAATAATAAATAAATGGCTGGGAAGAAGAGAGGGACTGTCGGGCTAGTCTGCTACATGTGACGAGGGAACAAAGAACATGCAGAGAGTGACAACAGAGACAGCTCTGGAAGTGTGCTAAGGAGACAAACAGTAAGCTAGAAGAGAGAACACGATGACCGACAGACTTTTCACCCAGAGGACTGCATGCGCTCATAGATGGGCTAAAGAGGGATGACCATAAATGGGTAGAAAGGACAGGTGTGGGCTGGAGAAATGACTCAGCGATTACCAGCACTAACTGCTCTTCCAGAGGTCCTGAGTTCAATTCCCAGCAACCACATGGTGGCTCACAGCCCTCTGTAATGGGATCTAACGCCCTCTTCTGCTGTGTCTGAAGACAGCGACAGTCTACTCATATATATTAAAAAAAAAAAAAAGACAGGGGAGTTGTCACTGTGCGGTAAGACTGGGCAAGGTGCTCTCTCTCCACTCTGGATGCTAAAAGTTGTGGGTGGGGCTCGCAGCCTCAGTCTTCTCCTAGAGATGGCTGGAGATGCAGGACTTCAGGTCTTCCCCGGAGGTTAGGCAGGTCACCAATGGGCTCCAACAACAGCTATGACCTATGACCATAAGCATCACAGTCACAGCGGCTGCCATCCCTCTGTTCACAGCCTGCTGGCTTTGTTAGTAATAGTTGTTATGGTTGTTTACTGGAATCTTCTAGGAAGTATATGTATCACTATGTATCACTTAGGATGGCACATTTTCAGGGTTTTTTCCCCCCCTGGTATTACTTTAGAGATTTTTTGTTTGTTTGTTTGTCTAGTTATACACAGAGGAATAGAATGGGTTTTCTTTCTTTTTCTATCATCTCTTCCTCCTACCATCTCATAATTTGGACATTTACAATGTTTATACTATGTAGTTGACGTGCATAAGCCAACTTCACTTTATAGTCTCTGTGCTTTGGCTCTGTGTTGATAAGGAAAAAAATACCTACCCTTGGATCACAACCAGGTAAATGTAACCGTATTTGTTAAACCTGTGGGAGTTTGCTGGGTGGTGGGCACACGCCTTTAATCCCAGCACTCAGGAGGCAGAGGCAGGCGGATCTCTGAGTTTAAGGACAGCCAAGGCTACACAGAGAAACCTTGTCTCAAAAAACCAAGAAAACAAAACAAAGCAAGGCAAACAAGCAATCAAAACTGCAGGAGCTGGAGAGACTGCTCAGAGGCTAAGAACATTTGTTGCTCTTGCAGAAGACCTGGGTTTGGTTCTCAGCAGCCACATGATAGTTCACAAGTATCTGTAACTCCAGTTCTAGGGAACCCAATGTCCGCTTCTGAACTCTGCTAGCACCAGACATGTGTGTGGTGTACAGAAAAATGTGCACGCAAAGCACTCACAGACACTAACAAAATCTTTTTTTGGCATATATTATTTTCAATTTTTATTTATGTTATGTATATACATAACATAACAAGTGTTTTGCATGCACATACACCCGTGCACCATGTGTGTGCCTGATACCCAAGGATGCCAGAAGAGAGCATCATATGGGTCCTGGGAATTGAATCCACCATGTCCTTTAGAAGACCAGCCAGTGCTTTTTGACTACAGAGCCATCTTTCCAGCTCAGAAAAAACAAACAAACAAACAAACAAACAAACAAACAAAAAACAAAAAAAACCAAAAAACTAGCTTTTTAAATTAAAAAACGAAAAAACAAAAACAAAGCTGTGTGAAGTCTGGAGAGGTGGCTCAGTGGTTAGGAGAGCTTGCTTCACTTTCAGAGTTCTGGAGTTTGATCCCCAATACCTGCCATGGTAGGCAGTTCACAACTGCCTCTCACTCAAATTCCAGGAGACCACTGATGCCCTCTTTTGGCCTCTGAGTGTACCTACACATACACACATACAGAAATTAAAACATCAGAAATCTTAAAGAGGGAAAAACGAAACAAACACATACAACAAAACACAACCTTACAACCCTGTGTGGTAGACTAAGAATGTAACTCAGCTGGTACAGGGCTTCCTGACATTCACAAAGTCCTGGGTTCAGTTCCCAGCAATGAACAGCGGGGCGTGGTGGCACAAAATCCCAGCAGTGAGGGGCAGGAGGATGAGGTCATACCTCAGCTACATACTGAGATCAAGACCAGCCTGAGATACATGAGACTATGTCTCAGAAAGCAACAACAAAATAAGAAAGAAACAACATTGGATGAGAGGATGTTCGGGGATTTATTGTCTTCTTTTTTATTTTGTTAAAACTTGTTTCTTCTGAGTCATGCTGACTTCTGGGCAAGCTGACCCCTTGCCACCCTGATATGTAGACTCTGCTGCTGTGTGGGCATGTCTGTGAGTGGGTAGTGAGCATCTCTGAGTTTTAAATTATAGTAACAACCGGGGATAGTGGTAAATGCTTGTAATCCAGGCACTTTAGAGGTTGAGGCCAGGGGATACTTGAAAGTTTGAGGCTGGTTTACATAGTAAGGGTGAGTCTAGGGTATAGAACAAGACTGTGTCTCAAAAACCAAAAAAGTATGCACATAGCCTTTTATAACTAGAGGATTGTTTCACAACTCAATTTTATTTTATTTTATCAAGACAGGGTCCTACTGTGGAACTCTGACTTTCCTGGAACTCACTATAGAACCAGGCTGGCATTGAACCCACAGAGATTCCGTCTCCTCTGCCTTCTGAGTACTGGAATTAAAGGCGTGAGCCACTACAACTAGCTCTGACTTGATATATATGTAAATTTTGCACAGTCTTTTATTTACTACTATGTCCTTATTTGTTTTATTATCTTGGCTGGGATATAGTGTTTAGATTCAAAATATATATTTTTTTCAGATTTATGAAGACATTGCTCTTCTCCCATCTTGATGTGGGTGGGTTCTAGGGTCTGAATTCAGGTTCTAGGTTTGCATAGCAATGGCCTTTCCTTTCTGTGTCATCTTATAGCTCACTCCCCCCCACACACACACACACATACGCTTCTTGGAAAGTTAGAACAATTGTTGGATTTTTTTTTAAGATTAAAAAAATTGTGTTGTGTGGTGGGGACACTCGTGGGTAGGTGGGGTGGAGGATTATATGCATATGAATGCAGGTGACCATGGAGGCCTCTGTTCCCTCTGGAGCTGGAATTACAGGCAGTTGTGAGTCACCTGACATGGATGGTGGGAACCGAACTTGGGTCCTCTGCAAGAGCAGTATGCACTCTCTGCTGAGATATCTCTCCAGCCCCATGCTTAATGCTTTACCAACATCCAGTATTGGCACTGAGAAACCCAGGGTGGAATTTCTCCCCGTTTGTACTTGTATACCTACCTTGGTGTGCGTGTGTTTACTTGCAAAGGTTTTTTTCACTTAAAAAAGCTATGGTTTTCTGTTAGGTGCCAGGGGCATGTCTTTCCCAATGTCCTTGGCACTTCATAGTTCTCTCCATCTGGTGATATGGCCTCCAGCTCAGGGACACATTGTCCACCTGTTCCCAGGTGTACCACCTTCTTAATAAGCGGAGCTTAGACTTTCTCTGTCTGCTTCATGTTCTTGTCTGTCCTCTCATGGTAGCTTTCTCTCCTCCCTCAGCGCTGTTCTCAGCACCAGTTTCTTAGATCCATCTAGAGGACCATGTAGTCAAATCTGTAACTTTAACCACTTCATTATCCAGCCCACACACAGAATTATCTCAGCAATTCTTTCCTCCTCCTCTGCTATTTCTTATTTTCCTCTTCCTCTCTCCTTCTCTTCTCCCTCTTTTTCTTTCATCTATCTATCTATCTATCTATCTATCTATCTATCTATCTATCATTAGTTTTTTGAAGTAGAGTTTCTCTGTGTAGCCCTGGCTGTCCTGGAACTCCCTCTGTAGACCAGGCTGACCTCGAACTCAGAGATCTGCCTGCCTCTGCCTCCCGAAAGGTGTCACCACCTTTCCCCTTTCCTTTTTTCTCCTGGGGAAAAGGTGGTGCTTTCTAAGCAAGCGCTCTGCCCTCTGCACTGCATCTTCAGCCTTGAAATCTCATCCTAAACGTCCTGTGTTTGATGTCCAGACTTTTTCATAGCAGGTAGTTTTGTTTTATGGATGTGTTATTCGTCTGCCTCCTCCTAAAAGGCCAGCTAGCATTTTTTCTGTTTTGCCGGGTGGTGGTGGCAGACGCCTTTAATCCCAGCACTTGGGAGGCAGAGACAGGTGGATTTCTGAGTTAGAGGCCAGCCTGGTCTACAGAGTGAGTTCCAGGACAGCCAGGGCTACACAGAGAAACCCTGTCTCGAAAAAAAAAACAAAAACAAACAAACAAACAAACAAACAAACAAAGTTCTGTTTGAACCCCTGAGTTTATTCCTTCAGGAACAAAGGGTTGGTTGACTGAAGTCTTCTCTGCTGTCTGAGCTTTCTAGTGCTGAGAGGCAATATAGGCTCCTGGCTTGGCTTTTTACCGTTGAAGTCTGGTTGTTAGTCCTAATTTTAGGTGAGTGGAGTGAGGTCTACTTAGCTGCAGGGTTCCCTGAAAGAGTCAGCCATCCCTGGAGGAGTTAGGCCTTCCTGGAAGCTAGCCCTCCAGTGTCACTTGTCCCACGGAGACAGTTACTGTATTCCTCTGGACAGAGCATGATGGTGGGCTTTCAAGTTTTCACATAAATCCTAAATGCTTCCGGCCACCAGATTGCTGAGTTCAGCTCTCTTCTGGCCAGTGTAGGGATAGATTCCAAATAACTCCACCCCAACTACCATGCACTTGGCAGGTAGAACGTGTGTCACACCCACTGCTGCAACAACAGTACCAGCTGCATCGGGAGCGCTTGATGCAGTGCTGCCAGCAACGCCCGGTGGAGCAGGTCCTCTACCACGGCACGTCAGAGTCTGCTGTGCTCGACATCTGCGCACACGGCTTCAACCGCAGTTTCTGTGGCCGAAACGGTAAGACCTGTGCAGGGCAGGGAGGCAGGCTATGCTAACCCTGATGACCCTCACCTTGTTGCCTCACCTGTCCTGTCCTTGTAGGCACACTCTACGGACAGGGCGTGTACTTTGCCAAGCGTGCCTCTCTGTCGGTACTGGATCGCTACTCGCCTCCCAACGCAGAAGGCCACAAGGCAGTGTTTGTGGCACAGGTGCTGACTGGTGACTATGGACAGGGCTCCCATGGTCTGAAGGCGCCTCCTTTGAGGGCCTCCGGTCAGGTGCTTCGCTACGACAGCGCCGTGGACTGCCTCCACCAGCCCAGAATCTTTGTCATCTTTCACGACACCCAAGCTCTACCCACGCATCTAATCACCTGCAAAAACATAGTCCTGGGTACCCCCTGATAACTCTCTTGGTCTCTTGGATCTCTTTCCTGGACATTTGACCTAAGAGGCCAGCTTCTGGTTCCCTACTCTACAAAGTCCTTAAGCGTCAGAGCTGCCCACGGGAGTGCTCCTGCCTCTGGCTGGAAAGCCAGGATGACTGTGAACTGGGGAGGGCCAGATCTAATCGGTTCCTTGGCCTGCTCGACCGCCAGGGGTCAGCAGAACACGGCAGGAGGGTGCGCCGCCGGGCACACCCGTCTTGGTTGGACCGCGCCCTAGCGGGGCTGTCTTTGAATAAACCTGTATTTGAAACCAGTTAGATAGAAGGACTGGCTGGAACTCGGAATCCGATCTATTTGGGAGAGTGGGGGCCACCCACGTGGCTAGGGACCGCGTCAGCTGTTCACGGAGGGGTGGGGGCGGCGGTGGGCAGTGGATCCAGGCGTCTGGACGCGGTGCACTCCTACGACCTCACGATCGCCAGCAGCATCTCTTTCTCCCTCACGCACCGCCCACCAAGGTGTGAGCACTCGGTGGGTGCTTTCTGAGCTAGTCCTATCTTCGGCTCCGGTTCTGCAACCTCCCGGTCCAGTACTCTTGGCGCGTAGCCCGGTCACGCGTGAATCGTTTGCTCGCTTTCTGAGGTGCCCGGGCAGCGCAGCTCTTGGTGGGACCGGGGCGGGGCTCTGGATTAGCCCCGCCTGTGCTGCCTCCGCGGTTCTCCCGGGCCCCAGGAGTCTGGCTGCAGCGGCTGAGGCAAGCGGAACCACCAGGAGCGTAGAACTGGGAGGGTATGGAGAGGCTCCAGATATGTTGGGAGTTTGGGGGGGAAGGCGGGTAGGGGTGGATGGCTTCAGACCACCCGGAACTAGGTGCTGCTTCGCAGCCCCTCTTGCTCTATGCAGAGATCAACACCTCCCTGGGATCAGGAAATTGCGGAACTGGACGGGAGGTGCTTGAGTGTGGGCAGAAAACGCCGCGATGAAGGCAGGCTCGGTTGGGGGCTGGAACAGAGACAGCCACCGAAGGACCCTGCGGTGGAGTGGGGTCGAGAGAGGCACCAGCTTGAGGACCGTTGACTTTTCCCTTGGCCTGAGGGCGAGGCACAGAGCCCACATTGTGCCCCCACTGTATGCCACCCCCGCTGAGACAGAGCCCCATTCACCTCTTCGCACGCCAGTGCTCTTGGGGCAGGGAGCTGGGGCGTGTACACGCGCGGGGGATACGTGCGCTTTGGCTGCACGCAATAAGCTGGTGGGTTGCTAGAGCGGCTGACGGGCTCCCCCGGGCCTTGCCGCATCCGAGTTCCCGCAACCCACGCCGCTGCGGCTTCAGCTATTTATAGGCCTTTGCTGCAGAGATCGCAGAGACGGAGGTAGGACCGTATAGGCTAGAGATGGGGTAGAGTGATGGGAAGTCCTAAAGACTGAGCCTGGAGGTAGATGCAGTGACCACGGACTGGGGTTGAGGGTCTTGTTTTGAAGAGTGGGACAAAGGGGACATGAGCCGTGTTTGTTGATGGCCTCCTTGCCAGCCTATTGGAGGATCAGAGGACAGGGAGTCCAAGACTGAAATGGAGGGAATGGGAGCTCTTGTCCTAGTGACAGGGTCCTATCAATGTGTGCTTGAAGGTAGCGCCCTCTTCTCCTCCGGTTTGACAGGTGGAGGGTGGAGTCAGTGTCCTGTGCTGTGGATGGGGGCGGGGATAGTTGGCGTTTGGGTAACTAAGAGACAGGAACGATGGTCAGTGTGTGTGCTGGAGGAGGTGAGGATAGATAGGAATGGGAGAGAGAATGTAAAGTGTGGGATGAGCATCAGGGGGTGAGTGTATGAGCAAGACAGGAGGAGTTTGGTATCAATGTTCAGGTTAAGGAGGTGATGGTGGGTCAGTGTACAGTATCGACTTTCCCCACAGGTAAGAGTGTGAATCCTTCTTACTTTCCCTCCAGGAGGCCATGTCAGGGGAGGATTCCGAGGTCCGGCCAGTGGCAGTGGCTGAAGGTAGTTCCAATGGAAGTAGTGGTTCACCCAGCCCCGGGGACACACTGCCCTGGAACCTTGGGAAAACACAGAGAAGCCGGCGAAGCGGAGGTGGCTCTGTGGGCAATGGGAGCGTCTTGGATCCCGCAGAGCGGGCCGTCATCCGCATTGCAGGTAATGGGGAAGGGTCTGGTCAGCTTGCCTCATCAGCACAGGTGTTAAACACCTTCTATGTACTGCATTCAGGAATTGGACTGGATAAGACACCAGGGGTGATCAGCTATGAGGGAGGTCTTATTCTGAACTAGTGAGTTCAGGTAACACAGCTCCACCTGCTGGCTCGACCTTGGTAGCTGCAGGAGGTTGGAGGGCTTTTAAAGTAAGGGCTGACGTCTGACTTCCTGCTGTAGGAGCTCAGCAGTGGTCTCCTGGGTCCAGACGCCCATCTTCAGCTGGAATAATTTCTTGGTCTCTTGAGGTCAAACTGCTTCTCCAATCTGGGGTGCCATCTCAGGGTGGGACTACATTGTCACCTGGAAAGCAGATGTTCAATCTGTGAGAGCCTTAGAACCTCCATGAGCCAGAGTCCAGCTGTTCCTTTCAGGAGCTGCCAGTCTGAGGATGGAAATGACTGAAGCGAAAGGCACCATGGGAGGCAGCAGGCAGTCGGAAGGTAGCTAGCTGGAGGGCAGCCTGTACCTGTGAGAAGTGGGTCATCAAAGGCTGGAGGCCATTGGGTGGGATGACCTGGGAAAGGGAACACTGACTCCATCCCCTAGGAGATGATGAGCTGTTTGAAACCCAGGAGGTGGTAAGGGTAGACTTGAGAGCTGAAAGGCCAGGTGCTGAGCATGGAGATGGTACAACATCGAGGAACTTCGCTGGTGGAAGCATAGCAGCAGCTTGTGGAGATGGGAGGGAAGAGATAAAAAACATACTCCCCACCCTGCCTCTAGGACTATTCCTTATCTGAGTGCATGTGCGGGCATGTGCGGGCGCGGAGGTGGGGGTGGGGTGAGGGCGAGGGGGTGGGGGCGCGCGTGCACGCGTGGGCGGACACACACACACACACAATGATGATCTTACAAAAGGGGTTATTTTCCCATTTGAAGTTTTGAATACCCTTCACTACCTCAGACCTTTAAAGACAGGGGTGAGGGTAGGGTAGCCCAGAAGCCCTTTTTAACTGGTTGGGTGGTTTCTGTGTTTACTGCTCTTCATGCTGTAGCTAGCCCCACTTGCTGTATAGTCTTTGTGCTCTCTGGTAATTTTCTAAGGACTGATTTCTAGACGCAGAGCTTCTGCTCGTGGTCCATACAAGTTTTCCAGGAACAATGCAGAGTCAATCGGGAAAGGAAGGCGTGTCGATACTGGGCGGTCTGTGTCAGACGGATGGGTAGAAAGGAACTTTTTTTTTTTAATTACTAAGGTATTTTCTTTTGTAAATTGTGTACTACGTCTTTTTTTATGTGCGACTTTTTCTTGTGTTCCAAGGGCTTCTTATATTTCGGCGATGCCAACTATATCTCCACTGTTATGACCAAGGGAAGTTATTAACGGCGAAAGGAGGGAGGGAGCCAGGCAGGAAGGGCCACGCTCAGGTGGCCAGGTGAAGTTGCCCAGGGCGAAGGAGTTGGAGAAGTCGTGGCCGGCCCAGGGAAACGGCCGCCTTAGCCCGAGTTCTGTCAGCCGCCTCTGGTTCCTGAGTAGGCAGGGAAGTGTTTGCAACTGGATGTGTGTGGGATCAAGGCTCAGATTCCCGCGAAGGGGCGCCAGGCAGCGGTTACAGCTACGGGGCAGGTCGGCGGCTGGCCGGCCGGGCCCCGCCCCGCCCGTGGGGCATCCTGGGTGCGGGGCGGGGCGGGGCGGGGGAGGCCTCTTTAAGCCGTGCGCGCGGAGGCGGCGGGGGCAGAGCGGCCGCCAGGGCTGGCCTTGCGCGGCGGCCCGTTGCGTTCTTCTCCCGCCAGCATGGCCCATCTGCTGACGTCTGGCCCACCACCCGACGAACAGGATTTCATCCAGGCCTACGAGGAGGTGCGGGAGAAGTACAAAGGTACGGAGCCTCTGGCCCCTGTCTGCCCTTTCGGGCACGCGGGCCCCTCCAGGTTAACCAGCCTGACAGCCGGCCGTGTCCCCAGCTGCTGTCCCCGACCGTTGTCCCAACAGAGCCCAGTCATTCGCAGCAAGTCTCACTAACTTCGCTCGCTCCCTACAGCCTTCGGGGCCCGGGGAAGGGATGGATGCGCTCCGCAGAGCCCCCGCGTCTATGACCTTAATAGGACATCTCCAGGCACGGGTGGCCGGGGTGGGCCCTGGTGGGGGCGGGTATATGTATGAAGCAGGGCTTTTCAGGGTCCGCAGTCTAGACTAGTGTCCGGTGTCTTTACCCAGCAGACACGTGGGTCAAGGCTAAGCCATCCCCTGCCTCTCCTCTGGGGCAACTGTCTGTGTGGGGTGGGGGGTGGCTGCTACTGCCTGGCAGTGAATGGCATAGCTGCTGCCTCTCCTCACCTCCCCAAACTGGTCAGGACTGGGCCACACCCTCCCTTGGCAGGGAATTCCATTGCACCCTGACTTTGTCCCCTGGAAATAGCCCCTTCATGTCTAGAGGAACTTCAGAGCCTATCCGACCCAGTCTGTGGCTTTGGCAACTTAACCCGTTCCATGTCCTCCTGGAGCCTAGGACCTGCCCAGGTTCTGGACGCTGTCAGCCACTCAAGGCCCAAATGCTTGGCTCTGGGCTGGGGTCTGTAAGCTCTAAGTAGCATGTCCAACTGTACCTCCCAGCTTTCAAACACTTAGAGGTCTGGGTATAATGCCATTGAGGAGGGTTGATACGGAGGCCCCAGGCAGAGCCCAACAAAACAGGTTCCAGCTCCACATGGCTGGTTTTGCTGGCTCTGCCCCCAAGGGCAGCTCAGGGAGAGCTGTCCGGCTACAGCTTTGCCTGGAGCTTGGGTGCCTCTCCACCCCACACCCCACCCAGGCAGGGTATGTTTCACAGTCCTGCGGGCACAGTGGCTGTGCTGTGTGGGGGTCTGCTAGTTCTGTGGCTGGCTTGTTTGCTCCTGAGGATCAGGTAGTGATGCTCCTGAAACTGTGGGCTCTTGAGCTTGACCACTGTACCCCTAGAATACCACTGGGAAGGCTGGGCTGATGTTCACTCCTCGAGGGTCTATCTGGAAAGATGCAGGGCAAGGAAATATCTGTCTCCTTGGGCCACAGTCCTGTTGGCAAGCCCCAGGGCAGTACTGTAGACCAGTATTGACTATATATAGTGGCACCCCTCAAGCCTTCCTTGTCTGGTTGGTTTGCTGGGCTTATATGGTCCAGTGCTAGAG